TAAAAAACATACACTCAGAGCACAATAAGAGTAATGTATAAGATTAGACCATGGTACGTTTATGTGAAAACAGATGAGACGATGAAGCATTGCTGTCATACTCTCTTACACATGAGGTATTAACCTACATAGGTACTAAGTAGCAGTTTACGAGAGGTTACATGTGTTCTACGTTTATAAGAGTTGAAACTAATGGAGCTGGCGAAGCAGGAATAAAAACAGAAAAAAATACGCAGTAGCAATTAAACTCTACTCTGTAACTCAAGTTCTAGATTTGCATCTAATTATTAAATTACGAAATATTAAATTGTAGTATCTAACTCAAGTACTAGACTACAACAAAATCATGACAGAGCTATCATAGTCCCAGTCCACAGCCAAATATTCTATATCAAAGAATCGAATGTTTTCGAATGAATACCAGTGTACGAAAAATAATTCAGTAAAACAAGGTACGTGATCAGAAAGATCCCTTCAGAAAGATACCATGTTTTAAATTTACAACGTAAATATTCTGATCATTCTCGAAATATCTTCAGAAAGAGGCAACGACATAACGCAAAGTCAAATAATGTCATGGTACTTTATTGGTTTCGATTTCATCCGGAAAAGCACCTTCATCTATAAATGTCTGATCCTGGCTTCCGCATAACAGGTTCAAAGTTTCAGGTTTAAGATAAGCCATCTTTCGTGACAAGCAATTCGAAAAACGCTGAACTGTATTTTATCTTAACTTTATACTTAAATGTTACTACCATCACGTACCTGTCCAGATGAGATACGGTAACTATTTCGCTTCCTATGCAATAGTTTAGTCTGTTTTGTACGGTAGTATAGACGAAACACTCTCTGATCCAGGTAGCAGTTTTCACAACATCGGAATATTCGCTGATTACCTACAAAATGAGACCAGTCTAACGCAACTGTAAAACAGTAAAAACTTTGAAATGAATAATACCGACAGAACATATGATGTAAAGGAACTAAACATGAATTCGAGGCAAACGGATCAAAACAAGGTATTAATTCAATTTATCTAAAAATCGCTCATCTGCGTTTTACCTACTGAAGGACATAAGCATCCGGCAGAAGACGGCGCAAAACTCTGTTGTCTGTTCTTACCTCAAAAGCGTCTTCGATACCATCGTCGGAAACCTTAGGGCTATCCTCGGGTGTTTCAGCAACAATATCAGCGTAGTACCGCAAAATAAAGAATGAGTCTTCCGTTGTAATGGCCACCAGCTCCTTGTCTGACCAAAACACCTAGAAAATAGCAATAAGAACCCGTGAATATGAGCCATACAAAAAACTAATCACTTAAAATACATGTTAAAAGAGAATAGAGGGATTTTCAAGCGTTTTAATGTTGCATAGATGTAAAAACGAAATACTGCGTACTTCTAAAACACTGGACATGCTGAAAAGCACAATCAATTTTGGACCCATAAACAACAAAATTCTTCCTTTCTGAGCTTTATTGAAAAGGAAAGAACAAATATCAGAATATTAATTAAAACAATACAGAGACAGCAGGAATATCATCTGCGCGCGTGTTCGCAACAATCGATCTAACAATGTATGCTGTCACTCAAATGCTACATAATTGATTTTCATTTCTATATTGTTAACCTGAAAACGACTCTAGTCTGTGGCGTCGAAGCGAGTCAGCAAGTACAGAAATTGAGATCGTTCTTTCCAGTGGTTCCCTTGAACCGGGAAGCAAACAGCAACATTCCAGTGTTTCCTTATAACAATTAAAAAACAATGATGGTAAAATGTGAGCTAATAATGACAGCATCATCAGGACTGAAAGATCCCGATCCTATTGGTATCGATAATGAGAAGTAAAACACCGACTGTCAAGTAAAACTTTACTACCATGTTTTACGTTTAGCACTCCTAATGCACTGTCATACAGATGTTGCATCGATGAAGACAGAAATCAAATTAGACATATTTCGTACGATTTACGAGGGAACTACGAACAAAATCATTCATTGTAATGATTTTTCTTCATTCTATAGCATTTTCTTTATTTAGCCAAAATCTCCAAAACGACTTAATCCTTCACACTGCATAGAGCATTATACGCATAGATTCTTGATGATCTTTACAGCATCAGGTAAATTTGCCTTTGACTTTCAGCTCTACCGGATAGGATTTCTAGTAATATGATCGACCGATAAAGCGCTCCTGCCTGTTTTTAGCAGTTATTTTTTTGTTATTGGACCTATTCCAGGGTAATTCGTATGATCGCATTCTGGATACGGTGCATATTGTTTCACCAACACCCATACTTTATAATTTTCATTTCTACTGCTTCAAACGTATGGGTCAAGATCGTTTTAAATGTTCGCTACGGACTTACGGTTGTCACTGGCGTACGGTGGCAATTAACGTTGTGGAAAAATAAACATTTAAAAAAGACTGACCTTGAGTGCATTCCAGTTTCTTGAAACTTCACGGTCTTTTAAAAATTAATCTGGATAAATTCACTTGGACAGAGATTGATCTTAAATTTTGCTACTTGTGTCTGTTAATAACGCTATTATACAAAGCGGAAGCTCTTCGTATAGGAGACAGGAATTCATACCAATAATATTCATGTAGGAATAGAACATGTTTAACACAATATAAAATAAGCAGCAACAATAAAAAATTATATACATTAACTATTTACAACAAAAAACCATTTTTTAAGAAAATGTTTTGGTGTTAGCCTACTTCAATGAACAGTCAAGACTCAAACATTCGAAATATTTTCAAATTTGATTTTCATCCTGTCATCACAATTATTACAAAGTGTAAGAAAGAACGGGCAACGTAAACAAAGGAGCATAAACCTCGTTTGTTATGGTCTCCCGAAAGTTAAACGCGTGAGTCAGAAAATTCCTCGATGTTTACTTTAACAAAGCCTCAAATGAATCTATTTATGTTGCGCGCAATTTAGTTCCATTCAATTTCACCCGTTTATCGATATTTCTATCGATGTTGGCTAAACTCAGCCCTT